CTGCCGCACACGGCACAAATTGAATTACTCTGCAAATGAGCTCACTTAGGAGGGCAGCCTGGGGAGCAGGGGCAATCTGCAGCCACACAGTCCCCGGGGGAGCCGGCGTCTCACGTCCCAGCTGCCGCTCGCAGACAGTCTGGGAAGGCTGGGGTAGGAGGGCTGCAGCCGGCGCCGGAGAAGAGATGGGGATGCTGGAAGGAGCAGAGCCCTGGCTGTCCCCCAAGGGAAGCCAGGGCCAAGCCTGCCCCCAGCTGCTCACTCACCTTCTCTGCCCTCCTCCTTGCAGCGGTGCCCAGCGAACGCTGTGGTGCCCCTGCTCAGCCCGGTGCCCAGCCTCGCCAGCACCAGGACTGCGCCACCACCTCCTGCTGCTGCTCCTGCTGCCGTCCCTGTGGCCACCCACCGCTGCGCTGAAGCCCGCACTGCCTCCCATCGTCCCGGACCGGCCCTTCCTGGTGGCCTGGAACGCCCCCAGTACACGGTGCCTGAGCGCCTACCACGTACCCCTTGACTTGGACGCCTTTGGCATTCTGGTGAACCGCCGGGAGGCCTTCACTGGGGGCAACATCACCATCTTCTACTACGACCAGCTGGGGCTCTACCCCTACTACCAGAACAGCTCTGTGCCCCCCACTGCTGTCAACGGGGGCTGTCCCCAGAATGCCAGCCTGCAGGACCACCTGGGCAAGATGGTGAAGGACATCCTGCGGACCATGCCCTCCGAGAGCTTCGCTGGGCTGGCTGTCATCGACTGGGAGAACTGGAGGCCTCTGTGGATCCGCAACTGGGACAAGAAGAACATCTACCGCAGCATGTCAGCCCAGCTGGTGAGACGGGGCAACCCCGGCTGGAGCGACGAGCAGGTGGACCTGCGGGCCAAGTGGGAGTTTGAGAAGGCTGCTGTCAACTTCATGTCAGAGACGCTCAAGCTGGCACGGGCGCTGCGGCCCCGCGGTTGGTGGGGCTACTACCTCTTCCCCGACTGCTACAAATACCACTACTGGGATGACTTCGGGGGCTACACGGGCCACTGCCCACCCTTGGAGGTGCAGCGCAACGACAAGCTGCTGTGGTTGTGGGAGCAGAGCAGAGCCCTCTATCCCTCCATCTACATGGAGGAGGTGTTGCGCGACTCGCCACAGGGCAGGCGCTTCGTGGGCGCCAAGCTGCGTGAGGCGCTGCGCGTGGCCGAGCTGCCCTCTGCCCCGCACTCACTGCCCGTCTTCGCCTACGCACGGCCCTTTTACACCTACACGCTGAAGGAGCTGAGCCAGGTGGGCACCCGCGCGGTCCTGCCCTCACGTGGTGGCGCAGAGGAGGCGGGAGGGAAACGGGAGACCTCGTTGTTGCCGTCATTGCATGTCTCCATTCTCGTGTGGAGGCAGGGAGGATGAGGGCGGGCAGAGGGGGGAGGCGCCTGCCTCAGCCCATGCCACCCGCTCTCCCGCAGGCCCCCATGGGGCAGGCGGCTGCCGCGGGCGCACACGGCGTTGTCCTCTGGGGAGATGTGGAGTACTCACGCAACCGGGTAAGGTGGCTGCGGGCATGCTCCTCAGAGGTGGCTTCAGTCCACTTGGCCCCTGGCACTGGGGAGCTGGCGGAGGCGTGGGCGGCCACGCTCATGCCATCACTCTCTCCTCCTGCCAGAGCAACTGCCAGAAGATCCGCAACTACCTGCTGGGCGCCCTGGGTCCTTACATCGTCAACGTGACGCTGGCAGCCCCGCTGTGCAGCCCCCAGCTGTGCCCCGGC